CAGGGCCCAGAGCAGCATAGCCACGCAGATAAGAAGCGAACACATTGGGTTCAATTCCTATCTGCACAGAAGAAAAGTGCCAGGAGTAGATAACCCACGATGCCAATGTGGATATCCGTCCCAGAATGTGAAACATATGATCATGGCCTGCACCAGCTGGGCCAGAGGTAGAGGAGAAATACTGAGAAAGGCAGAAAACCGATCCTTTGAGGCCATGATGAATAGTCCCACAGATATTGCAAGGATAACCAGATAGATCCAGCAGGAAGGAAGGCTAGAGCAGTTTCGACTGACGCTTGAAGTCGAGGCCACGATGAGGGAGAGAGAGGAGAGCAGGGGAAAGATGATCTCCTGCCAGTAGCAATGCAGTGGACGGTATCCGCTCTGGATATAACAGTATTAGTGCACTTCTTGAAGGTAACACAACTTTGAAAGTGTATATAAATTGAAAAGTTGAGGGGTTTTTACCACAAAGGTTTCCTCCTAAATAAATATTAGAGTTCGTAGACACCTGCATGGCCCTTAAGCCGCCAAATCGGGTTAAATGAAATCAAATTCAAAAAAATGTTGCGGTCTGGATGTGGTTACTTAGCAACATAGATTGTTATGATCAGCGCTGATAATTACAATTTCCTATGTATACAGCGAGTAGTATGAAATCTTCTTTCTCTAGAATTCATTAATTGACTGACTTATTCTAGACTTGCTCTGCTGTGTATCAACACCAATTGATCCGGCGATACTGGTATGGGATTTAGGCGGAGGATTAAAGATGTTGTGCACCCTCATTTACCCCTGTTCCATCTGGAGGCTGATCGAAGTTATGTCTCCACCGACTTTTTCGGGGAAAATTTCGATCCCTCATTTATCAATAGCCAGTCGCTTGCTGACGTAGATGCAAGTTCGGCTGTTCGGTTTGTTTGAGGATAACAAATGGTATCCGGGGTGCTTTAAGGTAAGATTATTCAACGGGTTTTGCCAAGGTTCTTGGACCGCTACTATGTGGTGTTCCTCGAGGTTCAGCTCTTGAAGAAGGTAATGCTGTACTTTGATTTTCATTTTTTTGACATTGTAATGTATGATGTTCCATGTATTTATGCCTTTCATTGTGTCATATCACGCATCGGTGCATCGCTTCCCTCTATTTAGTCCTCCGGTGTCACAGTCCGGGGATCGGTCTGAGTATTTGAAAATATCAGACCTGTTGTTAAAAACAGGATTGATCATTTCTCTACTGTGGTAATGGACTTGATCGTTGGTGTTAATTGTGTATATCTATCTCTCTCTCCTCTCTATCTAGTTTTACAAACTTGTCTAGGGACATGCTGACTAATCATACGACTAAAACCAAGTGGCAATCATCCCAGTTGCAGACGCTAGTAACCTATCCCAATAAATATAACTACAAAGCTAACATCCCGACAAGACCCGTCATTGTTGGCATTTTAGCCCATGTTTCTGACAAATCGCCAGAAGTTAGACGTTTTCGCGGTCTTCTAGGGCCTCGGCGAACAATAATTTCACCGTCTGCTCCAATGAGTTGAGGTCCTGCGGTACCAGCTCGTCTTTTCCTAGATCCAACTATCTGCCATTCGGCCTCTGCTTTCCTCGATGGTAACTCAGGGCGTTTATATGTTCCCCGATCCTGTGTCCGATTCTAAATTGCCTTTGCTTTAGCTGCGATCCTAACTGGGCAGCTCTGATTCCATGCTTCGTGACATCTATTGCAATTACTGCATCTCGACTCTTGTTTTTTAGTACAGGCTCTCGTATTATGTGCTTTTGCGCACTGGCTGCACTTGGCTTCTACAGCGTAGATTTTGGCTATGTGTCCGTACTTCTGGCAGTTGAAGCATTGCATGGCGCAAAACCTAGACTGGAAGAGCTCTGCCGATTTGACTTCGTAACGCCACATTACCCCTTTGTGATCGCTCTATCTGTAGATTCCGCTTCATCGAACCACAGGATCAATGATCCCAGTGATTTTCCCAGGATAGATGATTTCTTTAGCCACGCGGTCTTTTGTATTCTGATGCCTTGTAGGTATAAGGCATTTGCTTGTTGAAGTAATTTTATTTGATCATGATTTTCCGGCTCAAATGATAGCAGCATGTTGTTAACTAGGACTTGGTTCACAGGACTTGCCACCTGTGCTGTAGGTGTAAGCTTTGTGGTCCACTCCTTCTGTTTTACGATGATCTCCTTCGATTCTTGGGCTGTGAAAGGTACTTTAATCTACCCATTAGACATCTACTTCGCTGCAATAACTTCATTTATACCCATATTCTTTACCAGCTGTTCGGTCGAGAGTCTAGCAGTTGTCTTCTTCATCGTGAATTCTTTTGGTGGTGCTGGCAACTTCGGCTTTTCCAGCTATTAGTGCCCAGGAATGTTCTTGTGTAGGAGCTGAGGCTTTTGTCAGTGAAATTGAAGCTTTAATGGTTTTGATATCCTGTAGGATCCTAGCTGTCGTTGGATTTCCATCATTAGCTTTGTGGATCGGTTGAGCTTTCGCGTCGCGAAGTTCCTCGATAACGCGCATTGCCTCATTAATAGTCTTCTTGTGAGCTCTAATTGAGAGCTTATCTCCTTCAACTGCGTTCTTGAAACACTGTAAGGCTATGTCAGTATCTTGTGGATTTTTGACGCGTCGTTTCCGGCTTTCTGGGCCGTATGGGACTATTACGGTTTGACCGTGGTTTAGCTTAGGTGGAGACCTAAGCGGAGTTTGGGGGCGTGTTAGGGAGAGTGTTACATATTATCTTGTATCAAGCGACTAAGTTTCACTTGGCCACATTACATTGGAGCCAGGAAGGAATGTGAGACGGCGGAGTAGAATTGCCAAGTGAGAGAGTCAGCTAGATGGCAAAGATGACGACGGGCAGTGGCGGAGCAATATGTCATTCTCACCAACAGAATACGTACTGGATGAGCTAGAAGGATGTACAAATAGTCATTACCCGTAGTTGTGGTACTTCTCTCTTCATATAGTTTTATCTTTCTAAAAGTACACTACAACCAGCTTGGTTTCGTCACAGGGACTCTCTGCTATGAGAATCCTTAATAGGATTACTCTTCATAACTGATAGGAAAAGGCTGCAATTTCACGGGATTAAAACCGATGGGGGCAGATTTTTCAAAATAATGTTTTTTTTCTATATAGATATTAATGCTTGAGGGAGGATACAGATGAAGATAGATAGAATATACACCACTTATTTTTAGCACTTTTGAGGTATTAAACCAAGTAAACACCGTTGTACCAACACCATAATCATCTGTCGTCCGAACTGTTTATTTGGTTTCCGCTCGAGGGTTCTTATTCCAGATTTCCGTCGTTCTTGACAGAAGCTTCATCCGAGCCTTCTCCACACTTTACTTGTAGACTTGGTAAGTCCGACACACTTCTTTTTGCCATGAACGATGCTTCTTGCCGCAGTTCGCACAAAAAACTCTTTTTCTTGGACAGTCCCGAGTTTGGTGAGCACTAGCGCACTCACGACACCTAGTTGCCTTTCCACTTGACGCCTGTTTGACTCCATTGGTTACAGTTTTAGAACTGCTTTGGTTGGGCCCGTGGTGACCTCACTTGCGCGGCGAAGAGTATGGCGTCCAGACATATTAAAACTCCAAGATACAGAGTCCATTCTTACTGCGTTGGAGTTAGCGATTATTATCTCAAGCCAGTTAAATTCTCTAGCTGTCTTAGATTCATATAGGAGTATAGTCTTGACAGTATACTATGCATATCCAACCAAATTACTGATTTTTAGGCCAACAAACGTCGTCAATAATCCATTAGTTGATTCCATTTTTTTAATATTCATAACTGTCGACTCTTTTGTTTTAGACTATAGAGGATATCAGTCTTTCTAGCGTATTATCGAGGATTTCTACACCTCGCATAGGAAACTCTCCAATCTACCTCCTTCACAACTCTCATCTAACTTTACTGCCCTGTATGAGTTTTCTTTTGGTTTTAAGATTAAAGACATTTTACCATCGTTATGTCCCTGCTCTTACCAACGAATCGAAGGCAATTTGCGAGGGAATAGTAGGTGTGGGAAATGAGATGTAGCACTAGGTTCGTAGCAACGATTATAACGACGAGTACTGAATCAAAAGATGCAAAACTCTCCAGTAGCGTAGTGAGAGGTCATCGAAAAAGATGTTACAGGCTTTCTCGGCCCAAGGGGAGCACACTTAGCCTTCACAGCCTCTTTTCAATGCCATCGATAATTCGCGACTCGGTTTGAATCGAAGGTCTTATGAAAATCTCAAATAATTCGTATTATAAGGAGAATTTTGTAAAGTAGCTTGGCCTAATTTCTATGTGCTGTCTTAGGTGGCGGAGAATGATTTCGACTTGTTGGCGATGGGAGCTCTCCGAACTAGTATTGCACTTGACCTCGGATCTGCAGAGTTTACAACGGGAGCTGAAGCTTCGGAGTTGCACGATAGACAGCCGTATAGATTCCCTAGCCATATAGTCCCTCTTGGTAACTCACCAGAGTAAATAAGTAAATGAATATGATAAAGAGGCTTGTTACGTCTAGGTCCTATTTTCCTTCTTTTGCAAAATCTTCATGTGGGTATTTAGCTTGCAGTGTTAAAATCCCTGCAGTTTCTTCAAATAAAGAAATGCAGAACTATCTTCGACGTAGTGGGCCGTACGAGTATACACTAAGATATTTTCAGAATGTCTTTGTTTGCCGTTGGAAAGTGCTTACGCTGTCATCTACTTTAATCCGTGTAGAGTACTTTCGCCCTATATTATTTATCCACCTAATTGTACATTCATTTTTTTCACCAGTAGTTTTAGACAGAAAACAGACGTAGGCATCACATTTGACCGTTTGTTGAAGGCTAGAACAATGGAATTTGAACTACAATTTTTGAAGTGATTTTGTTGTTTCACCAAAAAATCCTCAAAAATCGTTAGGGCGGATATGATGTTGGTATTAATCAATTAAGGCTTGTAGACCTAATTTGGAATCGTACTAAAAAGCAGGGTATGCAATTTCTTCTGGAATCCTCACAGTTTCCCAAGCTAACCAGTCTGACCTGGCAGTACTACTAACAGTTAGAACTGTGCATTAATTTTTAGTAAAGTTATACTTACGGTAGGAGGCCCATTCCATTAACCTTCCATATCCCAAGAGCCAGGGCTAATATTTGCATAGAAATATATACAATTTTTACCATTACAAGCTGAGACTTCGTCCCATCGCTCTCAAATTTTTCGAAGACCTGATTCGTAGCTAGTAAGCCCATAAAAGGTGTTTTAAAAGCCATGACAACCATCATAATGCTAAAAATCTGCAAAGTGTTCCCAGACATGTACATCATGAACGCGGTCATCGGTAGTTGCTTTACTGGTGCGAGAGCCAGCTCCCATGCTTTTTTAAGTTTCAGTACATCCTTATCAGCAGGACTTGGAGATATGAAATCAGTAGCTTTTGAGAGCGATTGATGCTTCTAACAAAATTGAGTGAGCATTTACTGAACACACGGTTGATTGTATTACCTTTTGCGATGTACTAGTATAACCTGGCGGATCGGGGGTGGAACTGAACTTTGGCTTAATGGGTGTAGAATTTAAATCAATAACCCATTGAGGTGTGTGAGATAAGGCAGCATCCATTTTCTACGGTCCGATATAGATGCAGACAAGATGTAGGTATGTCGCAATGTAGTTTAAATGAGTGGCATTATCAATACGCGCTATGACACGTAAAGCATGGGCCACATGCCATCGATTAGACACGGATGATTAATCTTGTACCGGCCATCACAACGCTAAAAGACTCAGAGGGCAAAGTCTAATAACCTGTACGAAGTGTCCGCTGCGAAACTGTAAATGAAATATTCTGTCTGTGCCAAATTCAGTCAAATAAGACTGAACTAAAGAAGTAGGCTCACGAGGCAGTGATTCAATCTCTTTCTTACAACGAGATTGATCTGTGCCGAAACCTCATCAAGTTTACAAACGCGACCTGATACACCCCCATCTCAATGACCACACCTCTTATCATCTAAGCTCTAGCCTCACCTGGCCACCAAATAAATGCTTAGGTAAATATTCGTAACCGCGGAAGAAAACTAATCTCTACGCAAATATCAGGCTAATAGTTCGTCAAAATGGAAGAAAGAGTTCAGGACCGATGGAAAAGATCACGCTAAGCATGTATACGATCTAGAAAAGGATGAATTTTTAATTTTTGAAAAGAGCTCTTCCATATTGACCACTGTGCATTTTACATCTTCAATTTCTGGGATGCATGCGACACTAAAAACAGCGTCATTGCTGGCCATATAAGTAAAATCTGGATATTTTAGACACCCAGCCTACTAGAGACAGGTTATACCTAGTTCAAATCTAGCAAGACTGCATCATATTCTTCTGGTGCTCGTGTATATGGATTACTAAGGCGTTCTTGGAGAGTCAAACGTTTTGAAATTTTCCTAAAATGTTGAAATTATGGAGTACAGAGATAAGTCAGGTGATGGTTAATGGAAGTAATTGATGAGGGGGGGGTTTTTTTTTGATTTTATGGTCCTAAGCTAAGCTCTATATCTCCTAGGAGTCAAGGACCGGCGTACACGGCCGAGATCATGCTTCCCACATGCCCAACTCGGTCTCACAGCGTGAACCACTACACAACAAGTAGCTAGTTAAAAATAAAAATAAAAACACCCATAAATTCCCTTTTACAAAAAATTTCAAATGCAATACTCCAATTTGAGGTGGGAAAGCGATATTTCTCGCCTCGTTTTCCTTCCTGCCATGCTTCATGCTATGACCTAATTAATGTCCTCTCCGCTGAGAGCTGGAGACGGACTCGCAGGTTGGCCTCCAAAGCAGCCGGTTTCCTGCACAAAATATGTAAAATTCTCAAGGCACCTAGGCCCGAGAAGCTTTTGGACAAAGTCGTGATGTGACATTGTCCCTCGTAGTCGACGCGTCTGGCGTACGTGAATTCGACAGTGAATGCAGTGGAGGAGTGATGTTTCCTCTCCACACGCACACTCCATTGAAGCGGCGAAGTTGTTGGAGCGACGATGACATGCCGCGAAGTTTCCGTGGCCCGTATGGGCTGAGATCAGTTCACGAAGTAGCCGCCGGGAAAGTGTCTACTTGCGTGGCTTGCGTCGTCGCACGAGAAGACCCAGATTTCGATACCTAGGTGGACATACTTCTTCCCACCAGTCGTCGAGAAGCGCTTGACGTTTCCGGTTCATGAGCCGACGAACGTACGCCATTGTGACGGAGCCAGGCTGGCTGTATTTGCTTGGCAGTTGTTTGAGGCCGGAGCGTGCAGCTCTATTTGCATCTTCGTTTCCATGTATCCCGGAGTGGGCTGGTATCCACTGAACCGAGACTCGAGCCTTTTCTGATAACGCTCTAAACCGTCGCACGTCGTCGAGACTTGTTGTGGCAGTTCCCGTCAGCAGTGCCTTCACTGCAGACTGACTATCCGACAACACGTTGATCCGCCGCCTGCTGTCAATTCCACTGTTCTCCCTCTCCAACAATTCCAGCGCAGCTTCCAGGGCCTTTGTTGCCCCTACAATTTCCGCATCAAGCACTTCACCACCATGCTTGATGCCGTATCACTTCAATAGAGTCTTTCTATCGCTCTTCAAGACGAACCCCCATGCTGAGCGACCATGGCCCTCCGACGATCCATCCGGGTAGGCACAAATATCCAATGCTAGTACATCTCCAAGGAACCGAGTAACCCTTTCCTCCTCCTCCATCCTTGGGCCGAAGTGTCACGGCGTAGAATAGGCACAAGTGAAAGTACAGCTTGTATGGCGATAATTCAATCTGTGAAGCAAATACTAAGCTGGAGAAGAATAGAAAAGAACAGGATCTCATTACAAAAAGCCCTGAGGCTATTCCTATTCGGGCGGGTTTCCACTAAATCGCCGCGTCCGTGCTCCTTCCTGCATCAGCCATCAGTCTCACATCCTCCCTCCACGTAATTGTATATCATGGCGGAGCAGAATGCCGTGCCGTGACATCACCCCCTCCTCAGCCTTCGATTGTCCCAAATCGACTAATTTCTGCGGCGGCGTTGGTTGTCACGACCTTGGTTGGTCACCATATTATCTTCCGGATGTTCCTCACTAAATCTATCATGTGCGGCATCGTCCAACCACGTAGCGAGACGTCTTGGTGGCCCTGGCAATTTAGGGTGCTCAGCGTGGAACTTTTCTAATATGAGGGGTGCGTTCCGAAAGTTGGCAGCCGGATACCATTCCTCGTCTGCGTCCCAGCCTTCCCATTGAACCTTGTACTGCAGCCGATTGCGATACAGCCGCGCGTCTAACACCTTCTCGATCTCCCATTCTAACTCTCCATTGACCTCTTCTGCCGGCGGCTCTGGATTGGCCTGGCCGGGCAACGGGTTATCTGGATCTTTGCGCAGTCGGTCTGGTGAAAATACAGGGTGTATTTTCCAAGAGGCGGGTAGTTGAACGCGGAATGAATGCCCTTCTTTGGCAATGATCCGATATGGTCCCACCATTGGATTTTCCAGCTTATCCGACGGTCTCGTAGTTCTCCAAGCACCGCGCCGGATATACACTTTATCTCCAACGTCAAAGTCTACTTCTCGGCGATGTTTATTGGCTTGAACACGCTGTTGTTCCTGTGAGCGTTTGATGCTCTCTTTAGCATAATGCAACGCGCTGCTAATCCGTTTAAGCCACACCGCGGCCTCGTCCCGATTCAGCTTCTCTCGAGGGGTTCGTGGTTCCAGTCGCTGATTCCAGTCAAATTCTAAACGCATTTCGTAACCATAGTCAATCATTGATGGCGACAACCCTGTAGATTCATTTGGAATAGCTGCCGCAGCAGCATCTAGAGCGGGAAGCAGCTCCGCCCAATCGTCTTGGTGGAAATTGACAAATGGTCGCAGTCGCTGGTCAATGATCTGGTTAATAATTTCGGTCTGGCCGTCTGTCTGCGGATGTTCTGCCGTAGATAGCTTGAGTTTGACGCGCGCTAACCTTGACAACTCATCCATGAAATCCGAAATGAATTGCGGACCGCGGTCGCTGGTAATGGTCTTCGGTGCGCCACGGAATCGCCAGACATAACGGTAGAACAAGTCTGCAGCAGTCTTTGCTGTAGCACTTTTAGTGGTGGGGATGGAGATTTGGCGTTTAGACAATCTATCAACAGCTACCCAAATGTTATTAAACCCTCGTTTGTCTGGTACCCCCACATCGTGAAAATCCATCGATATATCATCCCATGTACGTTCTGGAATGGCTAAAGGCTGTAGTAAGCCCGGTGTCTTGTCTCTAGGCTTATGCGATCGTCGGCAGACATGGCAGTTCTGCACATAACGCTCGATGTCTGCTGCGTATCGTGGCCACCAGTACCGGTCGCCGATTAGTTTCCTCATTTTGTTTCGTCCTGGATGAGCGGTGGATGTAGATTCGTGGATCATCTTCAACACTTGAGTACGGAGATTGTCTTTGGCTGACACCACCACGCGTCCCTTATGAAGCACCAACCCGGTAGGTTCCAAAGAATAAGGTTCTTCCCGCTGTCGTGCTTGCTGGCGTAGATCCTCGAGATCGGGATCTGCTCGGTTGGCCATAAAAATACGATCAATAGTATCCAGATCCTCGTCGATGGGCGCTAACACCTTGCTGTCATGTGGCAACGTAACTTTCTTTTGAGGGAGGAGGATTTTCGTACGTTCCAGTTCTTTTGCAGCTTTTTGTGTAGGGGTAAGTTCTTTCTTGCGAGATAACGCGTCTGCCAGAATATTTTCCTTGCCTGGTCGGTACTGAAGGTCGAAACTGAATTGCGATAGCACCTCTGACCATCGGATTTGCCTATCGTTGAGTAGCTGCTTCTGACCAAAGTATTCCAGAACTCGGTGATCAGTCAGAATCACGAACGGCTCCCAGGTGCTGGTGAGCTCTGCGCGCCATTCTTTCAAGCATTGGATGATAGCCAACAGCTCCTTATCATGGATCTCATAGTTTGCCTCCGGACCAGTCAAGGTTCGGGAGTGAAAAGCCACAGGATGCCACACGCCTTCCTCCTGCAATTGACTGAGTACTCCTCCTGTTGCTAGATCAGAACAATCGGTCTCTATACGTGTAGGCTTCTTCTGATCGAAGTACAGTAAAATGGGTGGGCTGACCAATTTCTCTTTCAGGGCAAGGAACGCTTCTTCAGCTTGCTCGGTCCATTGGAACAACTGGCCTTTTGGGATTGCTGTCAGGTTGTACAGTGGCTTAGCGATCCGGGAGAAATTCTCTATAAAGTTACGGTAATAGTTGCAGAACCCCAAGAAGGATTGAATGGCAGTCTTGCTAGTAGGTCTCTCCCATGCGCGAATACTTTCCAGCTTCTTCGGGTCTGGCAGGAGTCCGGAAGTGTTAACAATGAAGCCCAGAAAATTAACAGATTTTTGATTAAAGCGGCACTTCTTAATATCCACCTGCAGTCCAGCCCTGTCCAAACGCTGAAGGACCTCGCGTACTTCTGCCACGTGTTTACTTTTATCTTCAGAGTGGACGCATACATCATCCATATATGCGGAAACGTAACGAGCGAGCAGATCGCCTAGGACCGAATTGATATATCTTTGGAAAGTGGCCGGGCCACCTGAC